TTAACATGCTACAAATTTTGTTATCGGGTTACGTCTATTTATTAATGTGTTAAATAAATCGCTAACAAACATGTTAGCATGTTAACAATACTATTATCATAAAAATACATATATTAACCGCTAATCAATTATCTATCAAATAGCCGTAATCCTATTTGTAACAGCTAACACTCTATGTATCGGTTACAAATTCATTAAAATATAATAATAACGGATTAATAATGAAATAGGTGCTAACTTACATGTTATCCAAATAAAAGAATGTACATTTCAAGATTTGAAATTAGAAATAATAGAATCAGTGTGAGATAATAACATTAGCAATATGGGTGTCAAAAGAATCAGAGTAAAAAATAGAGATTTATGATGAAAAAATGAAAGCATAAATATGTCATGTGTGAGAGATAAAGAGATTAGAAGATAGGGAAGAGAAGAGAGAGAGAATGAGATAGGGGTATAATGGTCAGACATAATAGTTTCTATTTTGAAAGGGTATATGGCAAATATGAGGTGTATTTAGGGACAATTCCACCAATTTCTGTAAATAAAATAATAAGTTTTACCAAAAAGAGAAATATTTGAATCCCAGGACGTAGGTCGACAAGCAAAGTCAATGGTCCAACTCCATGTTGTAAGCATATACATTAAGCATTTTTAATTATTTGTTTGACCTAAAACAAAAATCAAACAAAGCTCTTGAGAAGGTGATATCTAGAGCAAGGCACTAATCGGTCTATTGCACATTATTTGTCGTCTCGATCTAATCATTACCTGAAAACGTTGTTGGTCTGATTCAGACATAAGCCTGCTCAAATACATTTCAAGAACAAGTCAAAAACATCCAAAATTGTATGTGTGAATCAATGAAGTTTCAAAGATTCTCAAAAAGTAATACATTTTCCAAAAAAACTAATATAGAAATCCTTTGAAAGCTACATTTATTGCCGGCCTCTTCCTCTGCCGCCACGTCCACCAGCACGACCACCTCTTCCTCTGAAACCACCACCACCACCACCACGTCTACCTCCTCCTCTTCCCCGGGAACCACCACCTCCTCTCCCTCTAAAACCGCCACCACCACTACCTCTAAAACCACCTCTAACAACATCCTGTTTCAGTCCAAGAGACTGAACTCCTCTCCTCTTGTTTCTTTGCCCATCTCCATCCTCATCGTCTCTATCATCTCTATCCTCTTTGTAAGTGGATGAGCGTCTAGCGTTGAAAGAAAGCTCCCTGGAACCTCCAGGACCGAACTTAACATCTTTAGAGGCTCCAAAGTTACCACGACGGTTCTCTAAAGCCTTAACACGCTCTCCCATGGGAAGACTGTCTTCTTTAGCCAATGATCTACGGTGGTGGAAAGCTTCAGCATGACGCTCGTCTTTCACTTCAAACAACCTGACACCAAAAGCTTCCCACATTAGGAAAGAACAGAGAGACATAATATGATGTTCTAAATCCTGGAATGTACTAACTTTGGAGTTTTTGATTTCTTGCTTGGTCTACCATCTTCTGCTTCATCGTCTGAGCCTTGTGATGCATCAGAATCGCTGCTCTCGTCATCATCTGTTACAGCTTCAAAGTGCTCATCCACCAAAGAAGGTTGCTTCTTAGAAGAAGCAACAGGGTGCAGGACATTATATTCATATGACTCCGGATCGATTTGGAAGTCCTGAAAGGGAAATTCACAAGAATCAGTTTAGGAGAGTTTAGTTACCGCCTAACTATTTCTCAAACATTGAGAAAAAACAGACAAAAAGTCTCAAAAGGATTGTAGTTAATACCGGATTTTGGAACATTTCTCCAAACCGACCATCTGTGAAGTTCTCATCACTAAGTGCAAGTTTCTTCTTCTTCGACACTCTCTTTGCAGCTTCCTCATCCTCAGCACTCTTCTTTTCCTCTTCTTCATCTTCCCCGTTGAGGAGAGTGGCTGCGAGGTCACGGTTAACCTTTGGCAACCTTTTCTTCTTCTGCAAGACACAGAGAGAGATGTATATGTAAGTAGCCAAACTTAGGAAAAAAAAATAGTGAATGTGCAGATTCTGCTTCTTCTATTAGAAATACTAACCGTGATTCTCTGGCTACGTTCCTTTTCTAGTTTCTCTTGATTCTTGCGTTCCAAGTACTCAGCATACCATTCAGGTGCAGTCACTGCTAAAGCCTGTAAAAGAGAAAGAAGAAAGTTACAAGAAACATCTTTGAGACTACTCTGAAGTTATGAAAATGTCAAGAGACGCACCTTTTTGTATAGATTGTGATTCACAAAGTAACCATGCATTTGAGCTTTTAAAAGGTCTGTGCCAATCAAATGAGTCATCTGCAACTTCTCCAGATCCTCCTTTGTCACAAACTTGTAATTATCATAAATAGTTGTTTGTCCAGTTTCCTCCATCTCTTCCTGAGAATATACAAAAAAAAAATGTTAGCAACAAACAATAGTGTCACCACATTAGGGGAGACTCTTTGAATCAGATAGTTACCGTTAGGTTTTCAAGAGGAGAACACCATTTAGGAGCAGGACCAAGTTCAGGTATGAAGTAAGATGGGATTAGGCTACTATCTAAAGCCAGAAGCATTAGCCCACTTCCAGGGAACACACAAATGTCGTTTATTCCTCCTCCTCCATTGTTTATTCCTCCTCCATTCGGTTCTATGCTGGTCATACCTTCTCCCTGTAAGGTCAAAAAGAGAGTTATCAAAAACTGTATCTAGCTAGAACATGAGTTCAAGAAACCGAGAGAAGCTTACGGTATTCGGATCCCATATTCTAACAATGTGCTTGTCAGTAGTAATCAGCTTAGGTTGTTGAGTATTAAGAGTTCGTTGCCACTTAATGCTCAAAATTGGACTCTCGTACCTGCAAATTATTCAAGAAAAGACTATGACCACCGAGGAAACAAACCCTAAAGTTATAGGGTTTATGATTGACTTACATGTGATCCTTTACATGTATGGGAGCTGAAGTTCTCAAGTCGTATATGAATACCTGCAGATACAGAACAGCACAATCAACAAAACATATCTATATAGTCAAACTGCCATTGGTTTCCAAAATGAATCATAGAATCAGACCTTTCCGGCACTACTTCCAACAGCTACTTGAAGACCTTCAGTATCATCAAACTCTATAGCAGTAACCTCCTATTAATCATTAAAAAGAAAAGTACATGATTATCAGAAATACTGATACAAAAGTCATAACCGAATCTGGAGTATATGTTAAAAGAAGTACCGAAGCAGCATCGCCACCATGTGTAACAGCATTAATCCTAGCAGCAGATGATTTCATTCTCATATCAAAACATTCCACAGCACCATCCTCACCACCACAAGCAACCAGTCCATGGAGATTGCTGGATGATAAACAAATATAGTCTAAATAAACAACAATAATCTGATTCAAACTAGGAAAATGCAAATGGATATACAAACCTTCGAGAAACAACATTCAATGCTGGCGATTGAGTGGTGAGCGGAGAGAGAAATCTTCCCTAATGAGAGAAAGTATCTCACAGATCATTAACATGTAGGAAGATCAACAGACCACAAAGACTTAACGAAATGTACCTGCTCCAAATTGATTCTGTAAAGATCTGGTGAAGAAGCAGCGCAAAGCAGATCACAAGACCAGTTATCATAAGTCATGTCTCTCCCCATCCTACCAATACCAAAAGTGAGCTTTTAGACAAACGCCACATCAAAATCTCACAAGACAAACAAAGATTAAAAAACAACCTTGGAATACGTAAACTGTGGTGTTTCCCATATTTGGCGTGTAGATGAATAGAACGATCAGCACATAAGAAGGCAAGCTTTGAGTAGTCATCATCCAATACCTGTAGATAGCCAACACAACACATTACTCAACCAGAAACAAAAATAAAAGGCTTAGACATAACCTCAAAGGAGTAGTGAAAGTTACCTCGAAATCAACAATCTCAGAGTCCAAATGCCTCTCAAACTTCAAAGCAAGCTGACCTAGCTCATATACTTTAACCTGTGGTGGATAAATACCTGATCCATTCAATAACCAATCATTAAAAAAAATGCACAAGACATAAAAACACACACACACACACAAAAAAAAAAATGATAACTTACCTGAAGCAATCAGATACTCTCCATCTGGAGTAGATTTGATTCTAGTAGTGGCAGTCTGAAACTTCAAATCCTGAATAAGCTCCACTCTCTGCATATACTCTAATACCCACAAAAACAAAAAGAAACATTTGAATTTGAGAAAATTTGCAAAAGACATCATTAAGCAAACCCTAAAAGGGGAGACTTTGAGAAGGGAGTTGTAAGGAACATTTGAATTTGAGAAACTTTACAAAAAAAATGATATCATTAAGCTGACAACTAAGAGAGCAAACCCTAAAGGAGGAGACTTTGAGCAGAGAGTTATAAGGAAAACATTGAATTTGAGAAACTTTAATCAGTTGGGTAACTAAGAGAGCAAACCTAAAGCTAAACCCACATCACAGATAACAAAAAGGAGGAGACTTTTTAAACGATATAGATACTTACGAGGGTTTTTGCGGAGAGCTCGTTGCTTCTTAGGGTTAAGCCACGTGGCGACGTTTGGTGCAGATGAAACATGGTATAGTTTAACTCCGTTGATGGAGGTTGACTTCAGTCTATCTCCGTATGTCGCCATCTTCAGACAACGATACTCTTCTACGCTTCTTTCTCTTGACGGCGAGTTGCAGAGAAGAGAAGAACTAAAGTAATAAAAACGGAAGGAACCGCCACTTTTTGTGGTTGGTTGTTCCTTTATTGGGCCTTTGAAACCCTAAACCTTAAATGGGCCTTGAAACCATAAATCCTTAATGGGCTTTACGTCTTGCTATATTCAGTGGCTGAAACTAAGCCTTGGAAATTAGGGTTTATCACGATTCAGTCGCCTGCAAAGGACAAGCTCAAGGTAACACAAACTTTCTTCTGGCTTTCTCTTTAGTTTAGCTGTTCTGTCATCAAAAGTTTTGTTTTTTGAGTTTAGTTTTGAATTTGAAGGAAAGATGGTGAGACCGTATGGGATTAAGGTGAACAACAAGAGGAAGGAGAGACACGAGAGGTATGATAAGGAAGAAGATGAAGAAGAAGATGAGCAGCCTAAGTTTGAGCAGAAACAAAAACAAAAAGAAAAGGTGAAGAAGGCCAAAAGAGAAGCTACCTCGGAGGAAGATGATGAAGAGAAGGAAGCAGAACATGAGCTTGATGTGGGGATACCTGTTGTCGTGTCTGAAAATAAGAAGGACCAGACTGGTGTTATCTTTGTGCTTGAGAAGGCCTCTCTTGAAGTTGCCAAAGTTGGAAAGGTAATTTGCAAGAGTGAAAGGATATAGTTTCTGAGCTTTTTGTGTGCTAATTAAAGCTTATGTTTTATTTGTTTCTTTTGCAGACTTACCAGCTACTAAACTCTGATGACCATGCTAATTTCTTGAGGAAGAATGGTAGAGATCCTGCTCATTACAGGCCAGACATCACTCATCAGGTTTGGGCTTTTATAATTCTTGTAATTACATGTTATAAATAAAATTGTGACTCATCTTGAATGATCTTTCTCTATTCAGGCTCTTTTGATGATTTTGGATAGTCCGGTCAACAAGGCTGGGAGGTTGAAAGCGGTTTATGTTAAGACAGAACAAGGTGTTCTTTTTGAAGTTAAGCCACATGTTCGTATACCAAGAACTTACAAGCGGTTTGCTGGAATCATGTGTTAGTTCTCCTGTGTTTTCTTACTTTAAACTTCTCTGGTTGTTTTTGTTTCTTAATCCAACGTTGTGGGTTTTTTGCAGTGCAATTGCTACAAAAGCTTAGCATTAGTGCATCTGGCAAGCGTGAGAAACTTTTGCGGGTGATCAAGAACCCTGTTACAAGCCACTTACCGCCTAACTCTAGAAAAATAGGTAAATAGAAAAGCCTTTAGTTTCCTCCCACATTTGGTTATTTTATCGGATGAGCTAAAAACAATGATTGTTTTTTTCTTTAATCAGGCTTCTCGTATAGCTCTGAAAAGCTGGTCAATATGCAGAAGCACCTATCTACTGTCTGCAATGAGACCGACACTGTTTTTGTGGTTAGTGGTCTCATTATAACTCTCTTTCACTTCAGCATAAAATCTAAATGATAGGCTTTATCTTTCAGCATACATATATAAACCAAATCCTGATCAAAGCTGTGTCTTCTTTTGCCTTGTTATTGCAGCTTGGTGCGATGTCACACGGGAAAATAGAGTGTGACTATATCGATGATTTTGTTGCCAGTAAGTCTGTTTTCCTCAACTCATCATCCTTTTGGTTAAAAGAAATTTAAAACAGCATATGATCTGAGGTTTCTTGTTTCTTGGTTGGTTTCTTCAGTTTCAGGGTATCCTCTTAGCGCAGCCTACTGTATCTCAAGAATCTGCGAGGCTTTATCAACAAACTGGAATATAATATAAAAAGAGTATTAGCAAGAAGGTCCCTTTTGTTTTTCTCCCTACTGTTCTAATGGTGGAATCAGTTTAAGTTTGTGTGTTGTGAACATTGTTAAATCTATTATCAAGTTTTTGAGTTAGTTTTTTGTCAGAATTTACAAATAAATATATTGATTAAGCTCTTTATCAACTTAATTTTATTAATACTATTATTACAGAGTACTAGAAGTTGTGTTCACATAACATTAGTCTTAAGAGTGTAGGAAACTAAAACTCATAAACACCAAGAAAAGGCATAAGAACAGAACCAATCCAAAGCTTACCATCTTTTTCCTCCACTTCACTTATAAACCTAAGTCTCTTCCCTTCTTTATCCTCAAGCACCTCCAAAACCTCTCCTGATTCACTCAGCTTCAATGCTGTTGCATGAGGTCTTCCAGTGAACAGCGAGTGCAAGCGCTGGCCACTGATAGGAAGTCTCAGTAACAAATCTCTGAACCAAGCCTGAGAGAGTGAGAGCTTAGCGAAAAGACCTTTCTTTGAGTGCAGAGCGACCCAGAACTCTCCATTTGAGTTTCTCCTGATGTTGTCAGGGAACCCTGGAAGCTCAGCAAAGACGTCTTGTGTTCCTGCTTTTGGACCAGATAGCCAAAGCCTTAGGATCTTGCCAGTGGTTGTCTCGGCTACCAATACAAAAGACCGGTCTTTACTCAGTGCAACGCCGTTTGCAAATGCAATGCCTTGTAATAAAACCGTCACTTTCTTGCTTGTTCTGTCATACTTTATCAACCTCCCTGTCTTATCCACGTTTAAAACAGCAGCCAAGAATTGCCTGAACACGACAACACTTTGCAACTAAGTTCATGCATCAACGAAGAGAGATTTTAAAGTGTTTTTTTTTCTATTACCTTCTCTGGAACCTGGTGCTGGTATCTGTGAAGTAAATCACATCTTCATGCTCATCAATGTCCAAATCATTAGTGAAAAGAAACGGTTGCCCTTCAGCTTCTGTAACCAAAGGTTTAGCTAAACCACCAGCAGGACCAACAATCATAAGGCCAAAGTATGCATCCGCTATGTAAAGGTCACCGGTTTTCTCATCGAAACGTAATCCTAATGGTCTTCCACACACATGTTCCAACTCTGGTGCAAACGGGCGAACACACATCGTCCTAAACCACATACATACTCACAAAAGATGAGTAAAAATGAGGAACGGAGTGATTAAACATATTCTATCCATGTCACATACTGAATTGCACAAAATAGTAAAACTGTTTGAGATTCATTCCCAAAAAACGTGTTTATGATGTTTAAATTCAAACATTACTTACACAAGCAACCTTTGTGGCAATTACAGAATTGCACAAAAGACTCTAAACTGTTTAAGATTCATTCTTCAAAAACGAGTCTTTTTATGATATTTAGATTAAAAAATACTGACACAAACAACCTCAAAAACTACCACAAGACATGATTAACGCACATGGCTTGCTTAGAACTTAGAAACAAACCAAGTTGCTAAAAAAAATGTTCTTTCTCTCACTAAATGAGTTAAGTTAGCTATGTTCTTTCTTTTTTCGATGTTTAGATTCAAAAATACTTACACAAGGAGAGACGGTCCTGAGCATAAACCAGTGAAGCATTGGTGCATGGTCTCCAAAATTTTAGTAAGAATTGCATATATATATATAGATAAGCTCTCAAATTTGAAAAAAAAAATATTATATATTAAATTGCATATAGCCCATAAAAATCTCAGGGCCGACACAAGTAACCTCTAACACTACCACAAGACATGTTAAAAGTATATTGCTAAGCTAGCTATGCTCTTTCCCTCACTGAATAAGGCTAAAAAAGCTAAGCTAGATATGTTCTTCCTTTACTGACCCAAGCAACCTCTAACATACCACAAGACATGATAAAAGCACATTGCTTGCTTAGAAGTAAACCAAGTTGCTAAAAGAATGGTCTTCCACACACATGCTCCAACTCTGGTGCAAACAAGCGAACACACATCGTTCTAGACCACATACATGTTCACAAAGATCATTAAAAAAAGAGGAATGAAGTGCATAAACATATTTATATCCATGTCACATACTGAACTGCACAAATACTATAATTGTTTGAGATCATTCACATAATAGAGTATTTCGGATGTTTAAATTCAAACATTACCCACAAGCAACCTCTGGAGCTATTACAAGACATGATAAAAGCACATTGTTTGCTTAAATGTAAACTAAGTTGCTAACGGAATGAAATGCTTAAACATTTATATCCATGTTACATACTGAACTGCACAAAATACTAAAACTGTATGAGATTCATTCCCTAAAAACGAGTCTTTTATGATGTTTAGATTCAAAAAATACTGACACGAGCAGTCTCTAACACTACTACATGGAAGTAAACCAAGTTTTTTAGAAGTGAACTAAGTTGCTAAAAAATATTTTCTCTCATTGAATAAGCTAGGCTAGCTATGTTCCTTTTCCGATGTTTAGATTCAAAAATACTAACACAAGCAACCTCTAAAACTACCATATGACATGATTAGCACACGTTGCTTGCTTAGAACTTAGAAATAAACCGAGTTGCTAAAAACATGTTCTTTCTCTCATTGAATAGGCTAAGCTAGCTATGTTCTCTCTTTTAGCGATGTTTAGATTCAAAGATACTGATACAAGAAACCTCTAACACTACCACAAGACATAATACAAGCACATTGCTTGCGTAGAAGAAGTGTTCTAAAACTCGGTCGCGCCTAGGCGTCCACCGGCAAATCAAACCTAAGCAAAGATTTTTCTAAAATGATTTTTTTAAATATAGAAAATTGTTCTAGACGTTCAAAGCATTGGTCTATGCGCCTGCCTAATTAACAAATCTTATATAAAACGCGCCTTCCTATTTCTTGAACATTTAACAAAGTTACTAAAAGAAGGTTCTTTTATCATCTAACGAAACTCTCTTGCTTAATATTGACACAAGCATCCTCTAACACTACCACAAGACATGATTAATGCACACATCGCTTGCTCATAACCTAGAAGTAAACCAAGTTGCTAAAGGAATGTTCTTTCTCTCACTGAATAAGCTAAGCTAAGCTAGCTGTGTAGATTAAAAAAAAATACTGACACAAGCAGGGTCTGTCCTGAACATAGGCTAGTGAATTACTGAGACATGGTCTCCAAAATTTTAGTAAAAATTAAACATTATATCTAGAACCTCTCAAATTTGCAAACAATTTTTTTTTATAGTAAATTGAATATAGCCCTAAAATTTAAGAATCAGCCCTAGACACAAGCAACCTCTAACACTACCACAAGACATGATAAAAGCACAATGCTTGCTTAGAAGTAAGCCAAGTTACTAAAAAAGGTTCTTTTATCATTTAACTCGTACAAAACGACACCGCTTTGACAAAACCATAACGTAAATCACTTTCTTTGGAAAAAACGTGTGGCTTTACCTATTAGCCGACGTGTAAGCGAAATCTGACCATCCAAGCGAATCCCCGCGCCATTTCAGGACACGACCGTCGGAAACACCAACGTACGGACCTTCCCCCGCCAGATCAAACGCCACGCTCTCCGGACCAGAGGCTCCGGTTAGGTTAACCACTTTAGCCGACGGGAAAACGTCACGGGAGCCGGCGATTTCAGGCGGTGCGAAGATGCCTGAGCCTTTTTGGCTACTCGAGGAGGTAATGATCGCGATGATCGTTACAATCGCTGCTGAGAATAGTACGGTGAGCATCGTCATGATGGTGACTTGAGTGAGGATAGGTTTCACTACAATCACTACTGTTATGAAAGCTTTTTTTTTGTCGGAGCGGTTAAGAGAAGTTTATGAAGTGTAGTTTTAATTTAAATTCGGGTTTAGCCTCGGTTTAGTTGATGGATAGGAAATTTACTTGTTAATGGAGTTTTGTGAAAGCCTATTACTCGGCCCAGGTTTTAACGGATCATTGTAATTTCCAGCCCATTTTATTGTATTCAGAGCTTAGGACTTGGGAACCAAAAAGCAGTGCCAAAATACAACATGATTAACGTAATCAAGTTACCAAAATTTCCAATGTAGTAAGTTTTATAAAGTACTACCTCCGTATCATATTATTTGATGTCTTAGAAAATTTATTTTAAAATATAAGATGTTTTAATAGGGGTGGGCGTTCGGATACCCGTTCGAGTTCGGGTCGGGTATTTCGGGTTCGGATATTCCGGTATTGTGGTTTAGAAACCGTTCGGATACTTTTACATATCGGGTCGGGTTCGGATATTTTTAGTTCGGGTTTGGTTATTTCGGGTCGGATTCGGATATTTTGATTTTGAAAGAAAATTTTCAAATTCTTTATTACTTAAGTTTTATGTTTTTAAAATTTAACTATTAACTTAACTGTTTTAAAATTTTTTAATAAGTTAGACGATTAATAAGTTTGAAAATAAATTATTGAAAATAAAAATCATTATTTCGTTGTTATTTTTGAATTTTAGATGCAAATTTTGTATAAAATATGAAATAAGAAGTTTAATATGCATTTTAAATGAGTAACAACTCAATTTTTTACAATTATATGTATATTATCTGATCTTAAACTATATATAACATTTATATAAATATTTTTTAATAAAATGAGACAAATAAATAGGAATAAATAGGTGTATATACATATGTTCGGTTATCTTTAGATATCCGTTCGGGTTTAGATATCCAAACTCTTCTAATTCAATATCCGTTCGGGTATTTTGCTACTTCGGTTTATATTTCGGTTCAGATATTTCAGGTCGGGTTCGGGTATGCGTTCGGGTATCAAATAAGTGTCCACCCCTACGTTTTAAAATTCATTTTAATTTTATTGAAAACCGTTTAACCAATTAAATTTTACAGTTTTTTTTATAATTGGTTGAATACTTTTAAAATTATAAACTTTTTTTAGTAAAAGTATTCTTCTTAATCTTTGTGTACTTAGGTATATTATAAAACGGATAATGTATAATTTTAGCAAAATAGAGTAAATTCGGTAGTATATACAAATTTGTGTGAGGTATGAAACATATAATAGAATGCAAAATTAATTTTTTTTTTAGTAAGCAGGAGAACAAAGAAAATGATTTTTGTCGTATACCATCATTGATGTTTCTAAAGAACGGGAGATATGTCACTAAGCTTTATTATAATTAACGAACTTATAAGAACATAATCATACAAACTTTACATTTTAAATTCTACATAATATGATATATATAAACACACGATATAAATAAAATAATACAAGATTTGGTGGCAATTATGGCAAAGAAAAGAAAAGGAGGCAAAAAGGATTTGGTTTAAATTAAGGGATGTGGCTCTGTGTTCATCGGAGAGACACTTTTCATGCCTTCAATACACCCGATGAGCTATTGTAAGGGCACCTTAAGTTTTGAGTTTACATTACTTTTTTTATATTGAATACTAAATCTCTAAATTATTAGCAAAATCTCGGAAGCAGAAAATGAACTAATCATCGCTGCATATTCAAACTAATGAAGTAGGTAGTATTGTGCAAGATTTTGTCTTCAGTCCATAACTCCATATACACCAAAATATACAATAGTTTCTTCCAATTATTGCATGCATACCTATGAACGTTATTTGGTTTGTCAAACGTCAAACGTGTATAACGTTGATTAAGATATGTTATCTCGTAAATACCAGCGGTAATGAGTTTACATATGCATACGCACTATTAGTAACACAATATATATATAGATTACAATATGTATATTCGTAGGTATGTGTTACGTATCTATAGTAAGATTGCATGATTCAGAATTAGTGAATTACATATTACTATTCAGTTAAAAATTATAGTAACATTTTATCAACAAATTATAATGATACTATCTGAATATTTTCCAATTTATCTAGCTACTTATTATTTGCCTATCACAGGAATGGTCATGAACGACAAGAAACACAGATGAATAATAAGAATGAATAATCATGAGGGTCATAGGGAACCTATTGCCTGGTATTATGACGAAAAAGCTATAGCTAGAATCATTGCCTTTTTTAAAAAAAAATGAAACATCAGTTAAGACTTTATACTTATAAAATGTGAATAATGTTAGTTGAAAAAGGAACGATAAGGATCGAACTCGATAATTATTTTTAAGAATCTCTAACGACTCGTGTGTCTTCCTTTTTGTTCACAAATTCAATGCATATTTTCTTAAAATGAAAAAAAAAATAATAGATGCTAATCAGAACACCCTACTAATTAAAGTTCTTTTCCCGCTTAAACTTTTATTTTTTTGCTTAAACTTTGGTGTTTTAAAACTAGTTAAAGTTCTTCACTGATGTTATATATTCGTTACATTGAAGGAGGACATTCTATTTAGAAATAATCGAATAAATAAGATTATATATATGAGCAATGCATGTGGGTCAACACATTAAATGTGTATACTTTGATATAACTTGACATCGATCTCAGTTGTTGATTTTCTCAAAACATGTGAAGTTATATCGTATCTTTTACAATAATGCCTTGAGGTTCGGTTCACCGTATTAAGACCATAACGCTAATTTAGCTTAGGTGTGAGTTTATCACTAATAGTAATGCTGATCTATTTTTTACAACTACAAGACTTTGAAAATATTACTAGGTGAATGTACTGATAACTATTTCACGTTGAATTTCTGGTACCGTTACTGGATCTCTTTTGGCCCTCTAATCAAGAAATTAGGTTAAGACGATTACCAAAAAAAAAGGTCACGGACCCACGAACCTTTGGCTCCCAGACACTGTCAGGGTTGGAGATACTTGTAGTTTTGAAGAGTGGTCCTCAGCCACTCATGCAACTTACCTCACTTGAACCGGCTTCTCAGATTATTGCATGTGGTCCAATGCACATGTCACTATGACACGCAACCGCTACATATACCATTCTCCATTCACGTCTCTGTACATAAACCCCAACTATGTAATAGTTCAGGGTTACCATATCTTTGTGGTTAATATAGTCATGCTCATTCAATAGACCGAGCCATATCTTTTTGGTCAATTCCACCATATATTTTTTTATTATTTGTGTTCTCGGTTCTTCACTTCTACAACATTTGAATTACTTGAATCCCTTACTCTTTCATGTCTACTATAGGGTCCGTTTGTGTTGAATATATATATGTGTATGTGAATTTTGAAATCATCATGTTTGAACAAAGCAAAAAAAATTATCAACCAAAATTTCATTTGTGAATGTCACTGCTTACATAAAACTCATCCATTTGACTTGGATACGATTCACCAGTAACGCAAAAGCCCTTGAAGTATCGAAATTGTGAAAAAAATATTGGGGTCATTTAAATTCACATGATTTGGCACCATGCATTTTAAAATGATGATTTGAGTCTTGAAATATAGATTGACATTTATAAAATGTACAAGAAACTAAAATGATGTCAGATGATTTGAGTATTAAAATATTGACTGACGTTTATAAACTATACAAGAAAAAAATGATGTTACAGAAAAAACGAAAGATATTTCACAAACAATATTCATTCAATAAAAATAATTTGCTTATGGAATTTTATACATTTATTTGACATCAACATTTGAAGATTCAGTATCCTTTCTATTATGTATTATTTGTTATTTCCTTGTAATTTTTTGTATACTATTTTTAAAAAGTTTTGTTATCTTCAGATGGAAAAGCATTGATCTCAAAATAGATGAAGAAATGTCGAAATAGAGAGGTGACAAACTGGAACCCACTAAACGAAAGAGAGGTTACGTTTCACCGGAGGGCCTTTATCCTCTGGCCCCTAGACTTTGACACATGGCCGATACAGTATGTTGATAATGGCAATCATGATGATGATAATGGGGCATGGCATGACCATGGGAAACAAATCTTTGAAAGAGAATCTACACAAAAACTTTTTATTTGCCGTATCGTTGCCACCAACACTATCACAAACACCAATTGCTCGATAAACGCCACCACTATTTTACGTTTGGCATTATTATTATTTTTTCTTATGATCATAGACATACCTTACCCCCTTTTGTTATGCCTAGTTGGAAGAAGAACACAAGTAATAGTTAATGATGATGATAAACACAGAGGGGCATCCAACGTCACTTATATCTCTGAAGATCTTGGCGGGTCCCCTTTACATACGAAGACTTGAAGGTTAGGAAAGCTTACATATATTGTGGAAAACTTGAAAATTAAACCATGATGACAAATCTTGGACGTATAACACTCAGAGAAATCTATTTGAGCATTTTTTAATGATTTACATCATTTTTTCCTTCAAAATAATGAAAACTTAAAATGAATTTGAATTTCACTCTAACGGTTATCTTCATTTCCCCCTAAAAAATAGAATATTTCAAATATATCTATTAATGATAGTTATTATCATTTTTAATAATGCTATGTATTTTTAAAACTTAAAAATATTACCCAACTATAATTTTTATTTTAACTAAATGTTTATTTTTACATAAATCTAGTTTCTAATAGGAAACAAGATGATTTATATGAACTATAATTGTATTAATGAAAGTATTATTAATTTTAACAGAGTATAAAACATAAATCTAATTTTTTAGATATAAAATAAAATTATACAAAATTTAAAAATCAATTATAAATAAAAAAATTTAATAGTAAAAATGAGTTTATGAATAGTATTCCCTCATATTTGAGGGGATACTATTCATATATATACTTTTTTAAATGATGTACCATTGAAGAAGATTTTTTCTTAAATTTTGATGTTTTTCCTCAAAAACAATACACCAATTTAGAGATGGTCTTAACATAAGTTATCAAAATAAGATAATCACTAAAACTTGGAAGGATTAAAAAGGTGAGGAAAATGGCCAAGGGATAAATAACATCAAGTTCTACAGTAGTCAGTAATACAAAATAAATAAAAAACACTCATTATAAGAAAAATCCATATACAACAACACCAACAACAAGAAAAGTAGAAGGCTAACAAAATTATTTGATTCTTTTTTAAAAAGTTATGGATGCATATTTTTGTTTAATTGAAATGTATTGTTGGACGAGGCATGTATCTTGGTTTCATGCATTTTTGGTTGTGCATTGAACGTTTTGTCTTAATCTGTTATATTTTATAAGATAAAACAGTGCATTTGCATATATTTAGGGCATCTCCAACCAAACTCCATTTTTTATTCTAAAATGGAGTAAAAGAGAATATAGAGTAGAAAACACTCCAACCATACTCTATATTCTACTCTATAATAGAGTTTACTCCATAAATGGAATAATCTGTTTTTTGTTTGTTCATCGAAAATGGAGTGAGGTTGGATCATTTTTACTCCATATTCTCTTTTACTCCATTTTGAAATTCAAAATGGAGTTTTACATTGGAGATGCTCTTATCCAATGCCATTATGTAACATGCACTAAAAAATATTATTTGAAAACTTTTTCAAAACCAATAAAAATCTCTCTTATAAAATCTAAAACTTTTTCAAAACCAATTAAAATCTCTATTATAAAATCTACAACCTAAACAATTTTTTTTCTGGTCAAAAAACCTAAACAAATTAAGTTTTATTATACTTCTACCATTTTATTCGAAAATATATTACCATTGAAATCCCAAAATTGTATATACATCTCTCAAATTCTGGTGTAAGAGTAATATAAAAAACAAAGCACTCTCTCATCTTTTATCAAAATCCATAAAAATCCTCACAAAAGATTTGTTCTGATTACTTTATTTATTTCCTGACATTTTGTGTTCCTTCTCGTTCTGCGTTGTCTTCTTAAAAAAAACAAAACATTTTTCTAACAGAACTTGCTTTCTCCACAATTCAAAGCTACTCCTTAACTTTTATTTTATTCTTCTTTCCCTCTCTACAAAAACATTATAATCAGATCTTGTTTCTAGCACAGACCCTTTTTTATTTCTCTTCCTCCCATCCTGAATAAACCTTAAAATAGCAACAATCCCATCAAATAAAAATTGAGTCTTTCTAGTGAAGAAAAATAAAAAAGTCAAAGACTTTACATCTGGGTTTGTTGATTTAAGATTAGATTCAGTATGGGTATGGCAGCAGCGGAATGGCAGTTTCATGTTTTAGCTGTTGATGATAGTTTATTTGATCGGAAACTCATAGAGAGATTGCTTCAAAAGTCTTCTTGTCAAGGTATTAGAATAAAAAAAAAACATGAATAAGTCTTTTGTAGGTTGTAATAATAGAAGAAAGATCTAAGCTTTATGTTTTTTTGGGTGTTTTGTAGTAACAACTGTTGATTCAGGATATAAGGCTTTAGAGTTTCTGAGTTTAAGACAAGGTGTTGAGAGTAACAACGACACAACAGTGCTTTCTACATCTCCTCAGGTTCGAAAAGTTTTCAACTTTGTTTGGAGAAAGTAACTTCAATGCTTGGTTTTTGAATGGTTTTGGATTTGGACAGGAAGTGGATCTTATCATTACAGATTATTGTATGCCAGGCATGACTGGTTATGATTTGCTCAAGAAACTCAAGGTACTTTGTTTGTTTTTGTTTTCTTCCTAGTTTATTCGTTTTGGTCTCTTGAAAATTCTTTACTAATATATAATCAAGAAAGTGAGAATGTCAATATGTGAGATATGTTTTTTAGAATATTTTTTATCTTCTCTCCTTTATGCTATTTGATGTATACAGTTCTTTGATAACATCTTTTAATTTATATTTGGGTATAAACTTGTTTTAACTATTTTGCAGGAATCATCAGCTTTTAAGCACATACCAGTAGTAATCATGTCCTCTGAGAACGTTCCTGCAAGGATCAGCAGGTAAAGAACAATAAAAGATTTGATTTTTTGAAGTTTGATGAGTTTTTGTATGTGCCCACTTAGTTGTGTTTCTATCATATTGTAGACTTATGTTTCTTAATAATGAAAACAGATGTTTGGAAGAAGGAGCTGAAGAGTTTTTCTTGAAACCAGTAAGATTGGCTAATCTCAACAAGTTGAAACCTCTTATGATGAAGACAAAGTTAAAGAATCAGAAGCTGGAAGAGATTGAAAAGCTTTCAAAAGACGCAAATGGAACAATAGAAGTAGAGCCAGAGATTAAAGATTCAGCAGAGATGGGAATCAAAATCTTGCCTCTACAATCAGAAGCAGAACCAAAACAAGTGCATCTGCAAGTAGTACAACAAGAGGAGCAAACATTGAGTAACAATAAGAGGAAGTCAATGGAAGAAGGGCTCTCAGCAGATAGACCACGTCCTAGGTTAGAGGGCATTGCAACCGCTGTCTGATTTTATCCCCTCATGATGCTTCTGATTTGTTATAGGAATGCTTCTGCTAATGGTACAATACATGGTTTCACTAGGGAATGCAGAGAGGGAATATAGATGGATGATGATAATGATGTATGGGATAATGTTTATAAATACATCAGTAAATCATACATGGTGAATAACCCATTTCCCAATTTTGTTTCACTCTTTTTCTTAAAAGTTTTTCTTCAAAGAAACTCAACTATCTGAAAATGTTATATACTTTATCTGCTAACTTGTTCTAGTGAACAAAAAAGGTACAAATCTGGTATATTCTGTTGCAGATGTGTCATGGTTTGTTCCATGTTATTGTTCTTACCAAACCTGAAACAGACTTTAAAAGGACAAGTTGCTCCTTGGGTCCTCTCTGTTCTCTCTCCACAGATCAAGAACATTGTTGAGAGACCTTTGTTTCACTTTCAAGTCTATTACAAACTCAAAACACAAATTTAACCCCCTATAAGAATCAGAACAGATCCAACATTCGCGAGTTTAGACTTGGTTGTTTCATGTTTGATGCATTCTCAAATACCAAATTATGTTTTATGGTTACTTACACAGGTTCTTACATCAGGAACCTATGAAAATACAAAAAGCTGAGACTAGAAAACAGAGCTTTTTTTTCAGACTGCAGCTAGATTGGACCGGTTTTAAAAGCGATATCAAGATCAGAGATCAAATCATCAGCATCTTCAATGCCTGCAGAGATTCGGACAAGATCTTCCGTCAAGCCTCTGGCTTCACGTACTTCTGCAGGTATGCTTGCATATGAGTTCGGACAACAGCAACAACATATAGCTGCATCTTCAGCTATGTACAGATCCTTGGAGATGATCTCTAGAGGAGACTTTTAAAAAGGGACGCTCTACGGATGCGCAAAAGCTGTGTTGTGAGAGAACTGCGACGTGGCGATGACTGATTGGTTGATCTCTCAGCTACATCAAATGGTTTTTGTTTCTGTCTCTGGAGAGCCTGTTCAGCGCCTTAGGAGACGGCTTGTTGCTAGGTTAGCTTCTTCAGATAGTTCAATCTATAAAGCTTTGAGATGCAAAGACCCGAGACAGGTCCTGAGCTTCTTACCTACGTCTACGTGCATATCTTATATGAAGCTTGTCCTTACTTCAAGTTCGGTTACGAATCTGCAAACGGAGCTATTGCTGAAGCTGTAAAGAACGAGAGCTTTGTGCACATTATAGAGATCCGAGATCATCGTTAAGGAGGGAGGGCTTGCTGATATGTGCGGTGTGCCGTTTGAGTTTCACGGAGCTGCCTTGTACTGCACGGAAGTTAGAAACTAAGAAGCCTTAGCTTGTTTTGGCTAAGGAAATGATAAATCTTATATACAGTAAAACCTCCATAAATTAATAATGTTAGTACTTTGAAATTTTATTAATTTATAGAGATATTAATTTACAAAAGTTTCCTTATTTAAATTTTTTATTTATTTTAAGATATATTTATTTTGAGATAAGAAAAATATTTGATTTTAATGTATAAACATTAATCATTATTTTTTAAGATTTTACATTTATATTAATTTTATTATATTATTTGGTATGTGATATATGCATAAAATTTAAATGTGATTTTAGATATATAATACTAAATCTCATCAAAAATATAATATGTGTTAAGAAAATATAAAGGTAATTCCATTGTGAATATAAAACAAACAATATAATGATATGTTCTATATAAAAAAAATATATATATAGAAATTATTAATTTATAATTTTAATGGGACATACATAGAATTTTCTAAAAAAAAATATTATCTTATTATTTTACCGATTTGTGTCAAATTTTGAACCGGCCCAAGTTGGAACCAGTGAAATTTATTAATTTATAGAAATTATTAATTTATCGAGTATATAGAGATTCTACTATAGCTTGTGAAGGGGTTTGAAAGAGAAGAGAGGCATGAGCCGTTAGGGATGTGGAGGTCGAGGTTTCACATGGCGGGTTTCAAGCCTTATCCGTTGAACTCTTATGTGAAAGCAGAACTATTCAGACAAGTATACACTCCAAGATAGAGAGATGGTGCATTGTATTTACTATTTAGGTTGGAAGAATCAGCCTCTTATCACTTCTTGTTGAGATTAATCATAAACAAATTAATCGTAGGAAAGTAAAATTTTAAGTTGCTACAAATTTTAGCCACAAAAAAATAATAATAACATGTGTGCGACTTATGTAATATCGGTCACCTAATTGAGAGTTTAACATGATAAGTTATAGGAACATCCTCTTTATAAAAAATGCAAAACCAATTTGATAATATGAATAACAAAATGAAACATTAATATGATGTTAAAAAGTTTAAATCATCATGTATCCCATACAACAAAAGATACAAACAAAAAAAACTAATAATTAAAAGAAGTACTTGTGGATAAACATCTTGGTAAATATTAAAAAAAAACTTTTCAAATGCCAAGCACATTCCGTACATTATCGATAGGGTTAACAAATTCAACCCTTTCGATAATTTAGTTTTGATATCTTAATCCGCTCTTACCTAGAGTTACAACTGCGATGACTTCATTCATGTTCATTAGGGACCACTTAAATTACCCTGTGAGGAAAAATCAGTAAATATTATAGTATATTTTTTAACCAACCAGGAAAAAATATTCATTATTATTAGAAAATAAAGTCACATAAATATAAAAATTGGAATTGCCGAAGTTATAGGAATATCCGTGTGCAAAATTTTCTTGCCTTATTTATCAAACCTATTTCACAGCCGGCAACAAGTGTGACTGACAAAAAAAATAAAGAATATTAAAATTTAATTTGAACAATAATGTTAAAAACTCATAAATAAATATCTACCTAACAACTCCTGTAATTAATGTGCTTTTATAACCTGAAGGTGATCCCAAAGCACAAACAATGTCTCCTTCCCGAACCTGATTCGATCTGCCCAATTTTGGCCAAGAATACCACCTTTGGTCAAGACACTTGGGGTTTACTTTGATTAGAGCCAAGTCTTGCCTAACGTTATATTGAACTACTATTCCCCACAATTCTAAATTGTTGTGAAGAACAATATCTACCTGGACAAATAAACAAAAAGAAAAGTTAATTAGTAAAAATTTGAGCAACAGTTTAACAAAATTTAAAATTACCTCTTTTGTAGAATTATTGTATTCTGGGTATTGGAGCCAATCTTTTTCAATGACAACATGCGCACATGTCAGTATGGTATCTTCATTCAAAAAGAATCCTGAGCCACTTCCAAAGAATTCATTACGTCTATCACCGACCAGTCTACATATACATCAACGACGGCAGGAACAACCAGTTCAGCAATGTCAGCAAAGGACATTGGTGGCTGCTGGGAAGGCATCTCGATCTCTGAAATACATTCAGCAAAATATAAAATAAATCTGAAATATGGTATTTGAAATCACATATATAAAACAAGATGATTGGCAATGCAAAATACATGAACTTTGTAGGTGAAGATGTATGTAAACATGAGTACCTAATGAAAATCCTCTAGTGACAAATGTTGTTCTAGACAATGATCTAGCGAGTACTTTTTGCCTAAGGGCAGGCGTGGCATTAGCAAGATCGGGAGCACCTTTGCTGACTCTGTGCGAGTTAGCATCAGAGTAGTTGATGTAAGTCAAAGCAGTTCTCTTGTCAACAAGGTTGAATGGAAGGTAGTGAACCTCCTTGATCCCAGCTCGTGTGGGAGGTGGACGAGGCTTGGATGGTTCCAGAGACGAAGCAAAGTACTCTCGCCCTCGCCACAGTAAAGAGTAAACATTCCTTAACTGTAACAAAAACCACACACACCAAAAGATCTCACTTGTTTATTACCCCAGAAGAAAAAGCTAACCTAATACCTCAAACCCGGAACTCAATCAATAAGAACAAGCTCAAAGCTAACCTAATAGCTCAAACCCGGAACTCAATCAATAAGAACAAGCTCAAAGCTAACCTAATAGAGAAGAGAGGCAATACCCAAGTCTTGCCTAACATCATTTTGAACTACTATTCCCTGCAACTCGAAATTGTTGTGAAGAACAATATCTACCTGGAAAAAAAAACAAAAAAAACTTAATTAGCATTTAACAAAATCTAAAACTACCTCTTTTGTATAATTATCGTATTCTGGGTATGGGAGCCAATCTCTTGCAATAACAACGTGCACAACCTGTGCGCACAGGTCAGCATGGTGTCTTCATTCACAAAAAATCATGAGCCACTTCCATAGAAGTCATTACGTCTATCACCATCGAGAGCATCCAGTCAACATATACATCAACGACGGCAGGAACAACGAGTGCAGCAATGTCAGCATAGGACATTGGTGGCTGCTGGCTCATGTTATCCTGTAAAATGGAAAACATCATATTAGAACTGAAAAATAAACAGACCTAAAATTTCTGATCAAGAGGTATATGGAGGTCCATGCCGCAGTCATTGTTGGCAAGAGGGAAGGCATCTCGATCTCTTGATGAGGAGGCAAATCTGAAATACATTCAGCAAATTCTACGTTAAAATGAACTAATGTAAAGCATATGACATTAAGAATCCTCAAGTCCGACAATTTTTAAAGCACTACGTGACTCTATGAGAAGGGTTAAGCCCTTAAATCATTATCAGGTTACAAGATTAGCATATCAAATAAATCACTTTTCTTAATAAGAAAATCATGATATTTGAAATCACATATATAAAACAAGATGAATGGCAATGCAAAATACATGAACCTTAGCTAAATTTTGAGTATGTGAACATGAATCATAAAACAAAAGTAAAGATGACTACCTGATGAAAATGCTCTAACTCGATGTAAGAGATGAAATTTGGAAAAATCTTGTGGCCTTCCCATTGTAGTGCCAAGTGTTGTTCTAGACAATGAAACCTATATATACATAAGAACAAGCTCAAGAAGCTCCTACATTAATCTGAGAGGAATTTTATACATCTCTTAGATCACCAAGCAAAGTGTAACTTAGGGCTATCCGACAAACTCTTGTGGGAGGTGTATGCCGCAGTAAAGAGTAAAGTAGGATACATCTAGCCATCGTGTGAGCAATCTGGATACGTGAGGCACGCCGGTTTTCGTTCACACTTATCACTACGCGAATGAAACTAGGTTAGGTTTGGAGGTTTTATATTGGGTAGAACTGTCAAATGGGCCGTCCAGAGCCCATTTGGGCAGGACCAACAGTCCCCAAAAATGCCTAAACCCGATAAAGATCAGTCCATGGAGACCCAATAAAGACTAGACTAATTTGTATAGCTTTTT